ATCCCAGTTGTTAGTCAGTTTCATTGATTACTTTTTCATTTTATAGTTGTAAAAGTTAATATTGTCCGATAGTTCAGTTCGAGTGAAAAATAGATACAGTAGTTTGGCATTTTTTAAAAAACGAATTAATAAAAACGTCCATAGCTGTTTTATTGTATTTCAACATCTGCCCAATACAATAATATAAAAATGTTACACACCTGCAACAAAATCGACATACAGGGTAAATAAGATTCGTATTGTTTTGATTTCACTAAAAATTATTCTTATCAGGTGTGGCTAGACTATAAATAAAAATTGTCTAAAAATCGTTCTGACAAAAAAAAAGAATAAATAAATTAACAATAAAATAATTGGTCGAGAAACGCTTTTTTATTAACTTTTATCAGCAAAATTGTTGGCTTCCAGGAAAAAAATCAAATTCAGGACTACAGTAAATTATTATCTGGACATTAGCGATAATGGCTGCCTTTTTAGCCGTTTTGTTTAGTTAGGCGTTAAGCTTAATCCTGAATTCAATTTTACATGCAAACGGAAGGTATTTATTTACACGTTAAACTTGTTAATAAATCACACAAGTAAAAGTAAAAACGTGAGATACCCAATTAACAAACAATAAATTATCGTAGTCATTTTCGTAGACATTCTCAGTCACATGTATTATGTTTGCACTACTGCAGCTGGTGTTTAATTTCGATTAAGTACAAGAAAGGCAAAGAATTATTTGTTAACTCTACTTATTACATGTTTATATATTGCTTTATTATTGTTCTTATTGATAGTATTGGGTAATAATTCCTTTTAAAACTCTAGTACTGCCATTGGACTTATTTTGACGTAAAACTAAGAAATGTGTGTCTTTTCGGTTTAATTGGGTACCTTTGAATGCTATTTTGTGTTCGTTCACTTTTTAATCGGTTGCTTATCAGATAAACATATTTTCCGCTACTGCTTTGATTTATCGATCTTAGTACTATTATTTTATGTACTTATATACAAATTGTACTAGATTATGAGAATATATATATATATATATATATACATATGGATGGGGCCCGAAAATGATTCCACTTTTATTTAGTCA